CCTTCGGTTGTAGTTATTCTTTCTGCTGTTTTTATTACTGGCGTTGTAGTAACTTCTTCAGTTGTAGTTATCACAGGTGTTGTCGTCGTTTCTTCGGTTGTAGTTATTCTTTCTGTTGTTGTTATTACTGGCGTTGTAGTTACTTCTTCAGTTGTCGTTATCACATGTGTTGTCGTCGTTTCTTCGGTTGTAGTTATTACTAGTGTTGTAGTTACTCTTTCCGTCGTGGTTATTCTTTCTGTTGTAGTCACTTCCTCCGTAGTTGTTATTTCCTCTGTAGTAGTCATTTCTTCTGTAGTAGTTATTACGGGTGTTGTACTTGTCTCTTCAGTCGTAGTCACCACTGATGTTGTAGTTGCGACTGGTGTTGTAGTCATTTCTACAGTTGTAGTTATCATTGGTGTTGTAGTTATAACTGGAGGTGTGGTAGTTTCTTCTGTTGTAGGTATACTTTCTGTTGTAGTTGTTTCTTCTGTTGTGGTTATTTCTTCTGTTGTTGTTAATTTTTCTGTTGTAGTTATTACTGGGGTTGTAGTTACTACTTCTGTCGTAGTTATTTCTGGCGTTGTAGTTACTGTTTCTGTTGTAGTGACGATTGGTGTTGTAATCACAACCTGCGTTGTTGTTATTACTGGCGTTGTAGTTACTTCTTCAGTTGTAGTTAGCACATGTGTTGTCGTCGTTTCTTCGGTTGTAGTTATTACTGGAGTTGTCGTTACTCTTTCCGTCGTAGTTATTCTTTCTGTTGTAGTAATGGCTGGTGTTGTAGTCACTTCCTCCGTTGTTGTTATTTCCTCTGTTGTAGTCATTTCTTCTGCAGTAGTTATTACGGGCGTTGTACTTGTCTCCTCAGTCGTTGTTATCACTAGTGTTGTAGTTACAACTGGTGTTGTGGTCACTTCGTGTGTTGTGGGTATTCTTTCTGTTGTAGTAATGACTGTTGTTGTAGTCGCTTCTTCTGTTGTTTTTATTTCTTCTGTTGTTGTCAGTTCTTCTGTTGTAGTTATTAATGGCGTTGTACTTGCCTCCTCAGTCGTAGTTATCGTTGGTGTTGTAGTTGTGACTGCTGTTGTAGTTATCGTTGTCGTTGTAGTAATGACTGGTGTTGTAGTCGCTTCCTCTGTTGTAGTCATTTCTTCTGTTGTAGTTATTGGTGGTGTTGTAGTTCTCTCTTTTGTTGTAGTTACGGCCGCTGTTGTAGTCATTTCTTCTGTTATAGTTGTTATTGGCGTTGTAGTTGTGACAGGTGTTGTGGTCATTTCTTGTGTTGTTGGTATTTTTTCTGTTGTAGTAATGACTGGTGTTGTAGTCATTTCTTCTGTTGTAGTTATTAGTGGTGTTGTAGTTAATTCTTTGGTCGTAGTTATTACTGTTGTTGTAGTCATTTCTTCCGTCGTAGTTATTAGTGGCATTGTAGTAATTTTTTCTGTTGTAGTAATTTCTCTCGTCGTCGTTATTTCTTCTGTAGTAGTTATTACTGGCGTTATAATTATTTCTTCTGTTGTAGTTATTCTTTCTGTCGTAGTTATTTCTCTTTTTGTTGTTGTTTCTTCTGTTGTAGTCACTTGAACCAAATAGTCACTCCACGAGAGAGACTCTAGAGTAGACTCCTCATCTCCATAATCATATTCTTCCTTATAATCTTCCTCGTATTCCTCATTATGAAACATTTCTGTTTCCGCATCCTCGCTCACAGTATTTCTCTCTAACCAACTCAACGTCGTTTGCAAAATATCTATTTCACTCTGATGTTCTGTGTTATACGTCAACTGGGACTCTACAAATGGCGTCGTGAGCGCATGAAGTCCACCCATATACGCCGTTACTTCTTTCCATACTTCCTCAGTCGTTTCCACACTTCGTTTTCTTCTTTTCTTAACGAAACCTACTTTTGTGACTGGTAGTCGCAGAATTTGTCGAAGATCGACATTTCGGTTCACTAAAGTGCTCGAATATGGCAGCGCCAGCAATCTCGTCAATAAAAATGTCCCGTTACTACGAAAATCCCTGCTGGTCGTTCGATTCGGTCTTCTCTTCTTGCCGCGGAAAAACAAATTCGACGATCTTCGGGCCCTCTTCGATTTCCTACGATTGGATCTTACTAATGGAGATTTTACTAATGGATTGGATCTTACTAATGGATTAGATTCGTAACTAATCGATTTTAAATTTCTGACAAGTCTGCGGTTAGTATTTACGGATGAAAAATCATCGCAAAAATCTAAAATATAACTGACTTCGTGCTCCCTAGGATTCGATTCGAACCGTCTCTCTTTTACAAATTCTACATTTTCAGTTAAAAAATCTTCTACGCTGCTATTTTGTACAAATGTCTTACGCCACTGTTTAAAAATTTCGGACAAATCGGTGCACTCCTGGCTGTGAATTTTTACAATATTTTCTTCTGCTTCCTCCGTGGTATAAAAATTTACACTCTGCAATAAACAGTAATATTAATAACTTGATGTGACAGTAGTCTTTGACAAGAATTGGTTATGTTTTAAACATCAACGTTTTGAACCTTGTTAAGCTGATTTATTTGTTAATAATTAATGACACAGTGTCTGTTGAATTTGTTAATACTCACAGTGGTATTTTTCATGGTCGCTTGATTACTGTTACAGTAAACAGAATTGTAAACAATGTTTTCGCTACTGACGTTCTCTGCTGCTATTATCATGTATATCGCAATTAACTTACAAAACACAATAAGGAATATATTTTGCATAGCGTCATATCACGCACGTTCGTTAATATTCTTGCACTTTTCTAACGCATGCTTATCAATCCTATCGCGAAGCATCGTGTCCAAGAAAAACTATCGCACGAAGGTATCACATTTATTTCGTACATGATGTCATAGATTATCGATGGGTTGAATTTTAATTATCGATGGCAAATTAACACGGTTGAATATCGATTCGGTATTACAATAGACAGATTCAGATTGTGGGGGTTTGATCATAAGAAATATACGGTGATCACAGGTTTTATAATTTGGAAGTTTAGGAAAATTGGGATTTTGTAATTAAAAGTTTATATATTTGGAAATTTGGAATTTTAGGGTTCTTAAAGTTGGGATGGAGGAATGTGGGAATGTAAGAATGTTGGAATGTTGGAATGTTGGAATGTTGGAATGTTGGAATGTAAGAATGTACGAATGTAGGACTGCATGAATGTAGGAATGTAGGAATGTAGGAATGTAGGAATGTAGGAATGTAGAAAATTAAAAAATTTGGAAATTTGGGAATTTAGAAATTTAGAAGTTTGGAGACTTGGAAATTGGGAAATTGGGAATTTAGAAATTTGGAGACTTGGAAATTTGGAAATTTGGAAATTTGGAAATTGGAAAATTGGAAAATTGGGAATTTGGGAAATTGGAAATTTGGAAATTTGAAAAATTCGAAAATTGGAAAATTGGGAAGCTGGGAAGTTGGAAAGTTGGAAATTTGAAAAGTTGGAAATTTTGCAGTTTGGGAGTTTGGAATATTGGAAAATTGGAAAGTTGGAGAATTGGAAAATTGGAAAAATGGAAAATTGGAAAATTGGAAAATTGGAAAATTGGAAAGTTGGAAATTTTGCAATTTGGAAATTTGGAAAATCGGAAATTCAGATATAAATATGTACTGTACATTTAGAAATACATTTAGGTAAGTACATATATACATACATTTAATGATAACGTCAGAGCAGACAATTTCACAAACAAAATCAGCATAACCTCAAGAGAACAAAACCAGTTCACCAATTTTCACGGAAATAATCGACAATTACACCAACCACAGTTATTTTATACATATTTCAATACTTTTTCTTCAACAGTGATATTTTTTTACCAAATTCCAAATTACAATTTAATATTTTTGATTATTTTAACCTATTTCTTCAAACAATGCTATGATATTAGAATCAATTTTATCTTGCTCATATTTATTTCTGACTTGTGGATCTTGTATTTATAACCTGATAAAACATTCTTATGTTCAATATAAATGTGTTTCTTATTTCATATTCGCATACTGCGGTATTGCGATTATTAGTGCTCGGTCCTTTATCGTTCTGGTTTACAAACTATTTTTTAAGGAATACAGTAAGTAATATTTTATTGTTAAATTATTAAGTAATATGTTATTATAAAATTATCAAGTAACTCGTCATAGTTAAATTAATAAATAACATGTTATTGACAAATTATTAACTAACATGTTGTTACAAAATTATTAAGTAACTTGTCATAGTTAAATTAATAAATAACATGTTATTGGCAAATTATTAGCTAACATGTTGTTATAAAATTATTAAGTAACTTGTCATTGTTAAATTAATAAATAACATGTTATTGGCAAATTATTAACTAACATGTTATTGACAAATTATTAAATAACATGTTGTTATAAAATTATTAAATAACTTGTCATTGCTAAATTATTAAGTAACATGTTACTGACAAATTATTAAGTAACATTTCATGTTAAATTAATCAACCAATATGTTATTTATAAAACATAAATTTTTCTTTTGCAGTTTTTGATCCGGTGATGATAGAGATTGAAGAACAGAAGAATAAAAACAAATGCAATGCTCTGTATGAAATACTTGGTACACTGAGCATGGCTAGTGTAATATATTCTTTGTATTGTCACCATGGTTCTTACATCATCGGCGCCATTGTTGTTACAGGCGTCTCTGCCTTTGATGTTTCTAAATTGTATCAAATGATCAACAGGGAAACCGAGGTAGTTGTAGTATTGTACAATTTAATTATTTAGTTTAGTATTTTAATTTTTTAATTTGCATATTTCCAAGTTTTTCAGTTTCCTAGCTTAGGAAAGTGGTTATTGAAATTTTGGAAATTTTAAATTTTGCAAATTTTAAATATATGACATTTTGCAAATTTTAGAAATTTTAGTAAGTTACAAATTTTAGAAAGGTTCACAAATTTAAGTATATCAAATTTTGCAATATTCAAAATGCTACAAATTTTGAAATTTAAAAATTTAGAACTTTAGAAATACAGAAATTTGTCAATTTATAAATTTAAGAGTTTGCCAATACAAATTTAAAAATATTTAAAACACTGATTTCTAACGATAAAGCACTTACTCCGTTCAAACGCAAATAATCTCGCTGTTTAACTTCCCTCTAATTTATAACTGTGAGTGGGGATTTAATCTCAATCTCGACAAGAGGTACTTAAATTAATTGACGATAATGTGAGGTAGAGACAATTTTCTTAAGTACCATAATACATTACAGTCCACACAAATCATATACATTTCTCTTTCACAAACTTCCTTATAAAAGCAAACATTTCCTCTCTTCTTACACAGAAATACTATGCACAATTTTTATTATACCTATACTAATTTTATGTAGAGCATTTTTAAAGACATTCTTTTCAAAAGCAAAACAAATATAATAAAAACGAGTCATTTATTTTTATTTAATCAAAACCGAATAGGAAAATTACCCCTTTTTCCCTAAATTTCTTTTTGGTAAATTATTCTTATCTTCTTTGCAACCTTCTTTTACTTTAGGATAACGTGAGGTAATGTACATAAACACAGGTTAAAATACAACAACAATATGCAGGGTGTCTCACAACTAGTGCAGGTCCCTGAAATGCGGGGTAGTTGACGTGATTCTGAATAAGATTTCCCTTTGCAAAAATGGGGTTTGAAGCTCCGTTTTTGAATTATTAAGGAAAAACACGGACCAATCAGAGCGCGAGGATTACGCGTTCGCAGATGCGAGAGCGACACCTTCGGATAACGCGTAGTTATCCAACGCGTGGTTAATCCAACGCGTAGTAATGCAACGCGTGGTAATCCTACGCGTAGTAATCCAACACGTAGTAATACAACGTGTAGTAATCCAGCGTGTGGATATCCAACGCGCAGTAATCCAGCGTGTGGATATTCAACGGGTAGTAGTCCAGCTCATAGTAATGCAACGCGTAGTAGTCCAGCGCGTAGTAATACAACGCGTGGTAATTCTAAGCGTAGGAAT